AAAAAAAAAAAAAAAGAAAGAAAGAAAAGCTCAGGTGCAAGACCTCAGATTGTATGCCTCTCTGAACTTAACCCTTCAGCCCAGACTTCTTTGGTCCTGCAACCTTGTTGCTCCTGTTTCTGAGACTTTCTGTGCTTCTCTGTGTGCAGGTCTCCAGCAGGTGTAATTTTCTCCTGTCTGCGTTTAATATTTGTTTAGTGTAGGTCTGCCTACGGAAATTTTTTCTGCTTTTGTGTGTCTGGAAACAGTCTTTATTGCACCTTTGTCTTTGAATGGTATTCATGGTTGGTGTAGAAGTCAGGGTGATACCTTTTTCTCCAGTGCTTCAAGGATGCGTCTCACTGTCTTCTCAGCTATACTATTCCAGTGAGCAATGTGATGTTGTCTTGTTTTGAATTCTGGCAGTGTTTAAGATCTTTTCCATCTGATTTTGATTGTGACAGGCCTTGGTGTAGTGTTCTTCATGTTTCTTGTGCTTGAAGTTCATCAAGCATTTCCCAGATGAAGGTATGATTAATATTGGATAAAATTCACTCTTTTACAGTGTATAAATCAAGCCAGCTGTGGTGGCACATCTCTAATCTTGTGAGAAATAGGAAGTTTGGTGGTCCATTTTCAGAATATAGCATTTAACTTCAGTTGGATCTAGTTATAACCATTTTAATTATTAGTCCTTACCTTTGTTATCCCAATTTTAAAATTAGCTAATCATGTAGATTGTACCTACCCCTGAGCTCCTCCAAGCAGCACTGTGTCGGGGATAAAAGCTGCCCACAAGGTTCCATTCATGCTCTTCTAGCAGGAGTAAATGCCTTGCCCACCCACTTTCAAGTGTCTGATTTCTTTTTCTTTTTTGGGGGGGTAGGGGTACCAGGTATTGAACTTAGGGGCACATTACCACTAAGCCACATCCCTAGCCCTATTTTGTATTTTAATTTAGAGAGAAGATCTCACCGAGTTGCTTGGCACCTTTTTTGCTGAGGCTGGCTTTGAACTCACAATCTTCTTGTCTCAGCCTCCCAAGCCACTGGGATTATAGGAATGCACCCTACGCCCAGCACATGTCTGATTTCTTGTGACACCTTGGTATTTCTAACAATCCCAGTGACTCAGGTGACTGAGGCAGAAGGACCACAAGTTCAAGGGAAGCCTGGGGGACTTAGTAAGACCCTGTATCAAAATAAGAAAGGTGGTGGGGGTTGTAGCTTAGTGGTAGAGTACTGGCCTAACATGAGTGATTTCCAGCACCCAAAAAAAGGGGGGTTGGGAGCACTGGGGTAGAATGCCCCTGGGTTCAATTCACAGCACCACAAAATAAATAAAGTATACTGTCGGGCAGTTTTTAGTATGTTCCTGGCTTTTCAGCCCTCACTGTGATCTTGATATTCTCCTGTTACTAGTGAAGGGATGCTGTGCCCATCAGCCAGCCATCCCTGATTCCCTGCCCTCCCTAAGCAAGCTCTTTTTTTTCCTCTGAACACTTGGTTTTTTACCTTTTCCCTTTCTACTTTCCTTTCTCTGGAAATTAGAGGTAAATGAAGTATACAGTGTATGGTCTTCTGAAACTCGGCTTTCACTTGGTATGGGACTTCCATATTGTATATAGATGTACTGAAATCTTTTACCTTTTATCTTATTATTATTTTTATTTTTTATAACCAGAGATTGAACCCAGAAGTGCTTAACCACTGAGCTACATCCCCAGCCCTTTATTTTTTGCTTAGAGACAGGTTCTCGTTAAGTTGCTTAGTGTCTTACTAAGTTGCTGAGGCTGGCTTTGAACTTGTGATTCTCCTACCTCGGCCTCCTAAGCTACTGGGATTACAGGCATGTGCTACTGCACCCAGCTCTTTCACCTTTAAAATTTTTACCTTTTTACATTTTTAAATTTGATTGTTTCAGTTGTTATTGTTGTCTGCTGTTTTAGTACTATGTTGTATTGAGTGGTTTTTTTTTTTTTTTTTTTTTGAGGGGTGGTATCAGGGATTGAACTCAGGGACACTTGACTGCTGAACCACATCCCCAGCCTTATTTTGTATTTTATTTAGAGACAGGGTCTCACTGAGTTGCTTAGCACCTCACTTTTGCTGAGACTGGCTTTGAACTCACAATCTTCCTATTTCAGGCTCCCAAGCCGCTTGGATTACAGGTGTGCACCACCGTGGTGCTGGGGATTGAACCCAGGGCCTTGGGAATGCTAGGCAAGTGCTTACCACTGAGCCACATTGAAGCCCTAAGTTCTTTATGTATATTCTGGATATAAATCCCTTATCAGATAGATGATATACAAATGCTTTCTCACATTCTGTGTGTTATCTTTTCACTTTGTGATCATGCTTCAGGTGTCATATCAGAATTCTACCCTGACTCAGTGCTGTTAACATTTGCTCCTGGGGGCTAGGGATGTGGCTCAAGCGGTAGCGCGCTCGCCTGGCATGCATGCGGCTCAGGTCGATCCTCAGCACCACATGCCAACAAAGATGTTGTGTCCGCCGAAAACTAAAAAATAAATATTAAAAATTCTCTCTCTCTCTCTCTCCCTCTCTCAAAAAAAAAAACCAAAAAACAAAACAAAACATTTGCTCCTGTATTTTCTGAAGTTTCATTGTTTAGGACTGTGGCTGTTTTTTTTTTTAACCTTTATTTTATTTATTTATTTTTATGTGTGGTGCTGAGGATGGAACCCAGGGCCTGGCACATGCTAGGCAAGCGCTCTACCACTGAGCCACAACCCCAGCCCCAGTGGCTGGTTTTGAGTTAGTGCTTGCACATGATATGAGGTGGGGACTCACCTCATTCTTTGGTGTGTGCACATCTAGTTGTCCCAGCACCACTGATTCTTCTTACCCCTCTGAATGGTCTTGGCATGCTTGTTGAAAATCTGTGGATTGTCATTGTGAGGGTTCGTTCTGGACTTGGATCTTCTATGCTGGTCTGCATGTCTTTCTGCAGCACCACACTGTTCTGACAACTGCAGCTGTATCTGTTTTGAAGTTGGGAAGTGTTAGTCCTGCTTTCTCCTTTTCCAAACAATTTTGACTATGCTTGCTTCTTTGTGCTTCTATATGAATTTTAGGATCTGCCAAAAAAACATCTGGCATTTTGATAGGGCATCGATTCAGTTTGATCAATTTGAGGAATGTTGTCATCTTAATATTTAGTTGTCTTATCTGTGTGGGTGAGATATCTTCTATTTTTTTTTTAGGTCTTTAAATTTTTTCAGCAGTGTTTCAGTATGCAAATCTTGCACTTCTTTTGTTAAACTCATTTCTAAGTGTTTTACTTTTTTTGCAGTACAGCCCAGGCCTTTGTGTGTGCCAACTCCACTCCTGAGCCCTGTTTTATTATTTTTGGTTACTATTTTAAGTGGAATTATTTTTAAGTTTTATTTTCAAGTTGTTGATAATGCGTGTGCATGTGCACCATTCTATATTGGTAGTTTAATGCAGGGGCAGTTTACCGCTGAGCTACATACTCAACCTCTTTTTTTTTTTTTTTTTTTTTTTTTTTTTTTTTTTTTTTTTTTAAGAGAGAGGAGAGAGAGAGAATTTTTAATATTTATTTTTTAGTTCTCGGCGGACACAACATCTTTGTTGGTATGTGGTGCTGAGGATCGAACCCGGGCCGCACGCATGCCAGGCGAGCGCGCTACCGCTTGAGCCACATCCTCAGCCCCTTTTTTTTCTGTTTTTAATTTTGAGACAGAATCTCACTAAGTTGCTTAGGGCTTTACTAAGTTGCTGAGACTAAAAAAAGTTGAACTTGCAGTCCTCCTGCCTCAGCCCCTCATCTTGCTGGGATTATAGGCATGCACCACCATGCCCAGCCCCAGTTCTCCCTCCCCCCTCCCCTCTCTTCCTTTCTTTCTTCCTTTCTTTCTTTCTAACTCAGGGGTACTCAATCACTGAGCCATATCCCCAGCCTTTATTGTATTTTATTTAGAGATAGAGTCTCACTGAGTTTCTTAGGACCTGGCTAAATTGCTGAGACCGGCTTTGAACTCATGATCCTCCTACCTTAGTCTCCCAAGCTGCTGGGATTATATGTGTGTGCCACCGCACCCGTCTAGTTTCTCTATTTCTTTAAGATCACTTACCTTTTTTTTCGATAGTGTCTAACCTACTCTTTATTTCTTAAGGTGTATTTTTCATCTTGGATCTTTTGTTGTCCATTTCTAGAAATTTAGTTTTGGTCTTTTCTTTCATGTCTCTGCCTGATTCTGGACACATGGAGCGTAGTCACAGTGCGTGTTTCAGCATCCTTGTCTGCTGCTTCTGACAGCTGTCATTATGGCTTAGTTTTGATGGATCTTCCCCTTCTTGTTGTGGAATTACGCATGCCTGGTTTGTTGCTAAATATTGTGAGGCTGACCTTGCTGGATCCTAGACATTTTTACATTTCTTTAAATACTCTAGAGCTCGGTGTTGGAGTGCAGCTTTATCACTGTGAGTGACTTTGATTCTTCAGGTTTTACTTTTACGTGTTGTAATTCAGGACCCAAGGGGTATTTAGCCTTGGGCTGATTGCCTCACCAAGCCTGGACCTCTCTGTGTCTTCTCCCAGTGCTTTATGCCTCTTGAGGTATTTTACTGTGGCTGGGTACAGTAGGCACTGGGTGGGGCCCTGTGTGTGGTCCCAGGGTTGTTCTTGTTAATCCTTCCAGTGGTTCTTTTTGGATGGTGGCACCCTGATTAGACTCATGGGTTCTCCCTACAGGGCAGAGCTCTGGGATTCTGCTATGTATCCTGATATTTGGTTCTCATCTTTGGTTCTGGATGCTCTGTCCTTCTGTTTACCCTGGACTCTCCACCACCTCTGCTCAGGGAGTCCCCTTGATCTGTGGCCTAGAAATTCCCAGACAGTGGGCTTGGGCACCATGCAGCACCCTCAACCTTTTCCTGTGTCTCAGTCCTCACCACATGTGGCTCCAGCCACTGTTGTCTATGTTTTGTACTGGTTGTCTGTTTGTGTTGGGAGAGGGTCTACCTACGCTAACAGTGGCAGTGCTTTCCCAGCCCCAGGGCACCATGAGGGCTGGTTCTGGCCCTCCTGAGGGCCCACTCTGCCAGTTCTGTGAGGTCCTCATTGCAGTCCTGGTGGTGGTGGTACATGGAGCCGAGCCAAGCCAGGGTTCCCCAGTCCCCCTCTGGTGCACTTCCTTGGCCAACAGTGAGTCCCATTTGCTCTACTAGCTTGTGTTCTCCACCTGGCTGAGAAGAATGCTGTATAAGGTGAGGGAAGACCCTGAGCCTGTGCCAGGGTGCAGGGAAACTTGGCCTGAGCTTGGCTGTGCATGTCCGACTCTCCTCACTGACTGCCTCCTGCTGCTGTGTGTGCTGGAAGGTGACGACTCCAGTTTCCTACCCAGTCATTTTGGGTTGCTGTGTTTCCACAGTGCCCTGCAGGGAGTGCTGTGACATCCAGGTGACTTGCCTCCTGAGCAGTGGTCACCATTACCAACTTCCTACTATGTGCCAGACTTTAATTGCTTGTTGTATTGTGATATCTGACCCTTTCTTCTCCCTTCAAGTGCAGCTTTTAGGCACCATACTCCTAAAAATCTTAGAGGTGCCACTTATGGTCATCCCTGACCTGACCCAGGGGGCTTTCTTTCACAAATGCTGTGCGCCCCCTTCTCTTCCTTGGTTTTTCTTTTTGTCTTGTTGGACCTTCCTCTACCACCTTTGTTGGTTTCCCTTTTCTTTTCAGTTTATAATAAGTGCTGGCAGTTTAGTCCTTAGCCCTTTTCTAGACTTTTCTGTGCTTGCCCATTGCTTGGAATGTTGTTTAGTGCCAGGAGCCCTCAGGTGTGCTGTCACCTGTCAGGGTACATGTGGGGGTGACTCCTGCGGCTTTCTACTTGCATGCCATGTTGTGAAAGTGTGCTGTGCACACAGGGACATGCTTGTTAGGTGGACCCCTAGAAGTGGAGGTGCAGGTCAAGTGCATATGCTTTATTTTGATGGAGGGTGTGAAGTTGCTAGCTGTAGAGGTCATTGTGTTTGCAGAGTAGTGTGAGATATGTACCTGCATTCACCAAGTGAGCCAGCTGGCACACACCTCAGTGTTACTCATCCCAAAAAGATGCTAACATTCTCATCAGAGTGAGAATGGTCAGGCATGGTGGCACATGCCTGTAATCCCAGTGGCTCAGGAGGCTGAGGCAGGAAGATCCTAAGTTTAAAGCCAGCCTTGGCAACTTAGTGAGGCCCTAAGCAACTCAGCGAGACCCTGTCTCCAAAAAAATATAAAAGAGGGCTGGGGATATGGCTCAGTGATAAGTGCCCCTGGGTTCAATCGCC